TGGGCGCAACACCGAGGGTTGCGATCCCGTTGGGCGCAACACCGAGGGTTGCGATCCCGTTACCGGTCAGTAAAAAAGACAAAAAGGGGAAAAAAAACAAAAACAAAAAAAAAACAACAAGCATCTCTGTAGTTAGACAAAATCAGTTTTGAACTTCAGTTTTGTCTTTCGCTAACCATAAAACTTGGTCACGTCACCTTATTCTTTGAGTTGCCATGTCTCCATGAGAATTGTCATATGAAGCACACTGTTGTGGAAGTAAATGAGATTGATCATTAGAAGCACTGAGCACATAGTAACTGCTCAATAAATGTCAGTTTTCTCCCTATCACTTGTCCTCTAACCTTCAAATCCCAGAGCATCCCACGTGCTTCCAGCCCTGTTTGTCAACACCATTCAGTGATATCAGTAAGAGGAGAGTTTGGTGGAGAAGCACAAGTTTCAGGTCCTCTTCTAATTGTCTTGGGCAGGCTGAGCCTCGCTAATATATGAGCTGGCAGTGAAAAGCCTAACTCCTGTGTTGTACTTTTATTTGCAATGTTCCCTGTCAGGCCAGCTTCCCGATGGCAATCAGCACGTCTGTCAGAGCTGGCACGGGCTATGGGGGAAGTGCTGCTCTCTCAGCTGCTTTGGCAAAGCTTCACTGAGCACAAGGGCTTGAACAGAAAATCAAAGCTCCTGATAACATGATGCTGTCACTTCCAGGCATGGGGGGTATGGGGGACAGGACAGATACAGGGGTACAGGGCCTGGGAGGAGTGGCAGCTGGAGGTCACACAGCACACTGATATCAAAGATTGGAGTAGATTGCAATAGGCACTTTTGCAGTCAGCTGTTAGAAAGCAAATACCTTCATTTCTGGCTCAGAGACACACCTGGAAAGCAAGGAGGATGTATCAAAAGATAGTGAAGGTCTCTTTCCTATGCAGTGTAAAAGATTCAGAATCAAGAGTCAGAAGCTTTAATTTTAGTTCATTGTAAACATAGCATAATTCGCTCTCCTAGTTTGGGTCTCCTCTTCTTTATGGCAACTCTCTTGTTCTCCCTGGGCTCCTCAGCTGTAAGTGGAAAGGGTTAGAATTCCACATGAGGGACCCTCTGGTTCTTCAAGTCAGCTAAAGTACAGGCAGCCTGTGGACACGCTATCAGGACTCCTGCCCTTGCTAACCCTGCCTGCCTGTGTCCTCCAGGCAACAACAGCCTCCTGACCTGTATGGAAGATGGGCTGTGGTCCTTCCCCGAGGCCCTGTGTGAGCTCATGTGCCTAGCTCCTCCCCCAGTACCCCATGCAGACCTCCAGACCGCCCGTTGTCGAGAGAACAAGCACAAGGTGGGCTCTTTCTGCAAGTACAAGTGCAAACCTGGATATCACGTGCCCGGCTCCTCACGGAAGTCAAAGAAGTAAGTGAGGCTGGAAACACAAACTCACAGGCTCTGGGGAGGAGAAGAGTCAGGTCTGCCTGCCTGATTGGAAGGAAACAGTCATGTCTTTGCTAGTGGCAATACCTACTGTGCATGCCATTCGATTCTGTGGGAAGCTAGAAGGACATTGTTTATAACATTTGGTTTGGGTCATACAGAACTAACTGTAAGTTCCAGCTTGGCTACCTACTGGCTATGTGATTTCAGGCAGGTGATGTCACTTCTCTGGACTTCCATTTTAAAGCGGTGAGATGGAGGTGATAATAACAGTTACCACATAAGGTTGCAGTGAAGAATCACTGAGGATGTGTACATAGAGTGCTTGCAAAGTGCCTTGCACATAGTCATTGTTCAATAAATGGTGGGTATTCATCTCATCATTGTGCCTGCACCCATCAGAACACTCTGGAAGGAAGAGAGAGGACCAGGCTGGTGGGGCATGAGTTTTATTTCAATCCACACATAACTGAGAGAGTCTGACATTCCTTCCTGCCCTTGCTGAAGGAGCTGTGTGAGTGAATTTTCCTTAATCCCTGCACCCCACTCAATAGGACAGGTAGGGAATGAAGCACGGGAAGGGAAACATGTAGCCATTTGGTGGTGTGTGGGGAGGGCATGGGTCTAGCCATTTGGTCCTAGAGATGTCTCTTCTTTCCTCTCTTCCTTGAAGACGGGCCTTCAAGACTCAATGTACGCAAGATGGGAGCTGGCAAGAGGGAGCTTGTGTTCCCGTGACCTGCGACCCACCTCCGCCAAAATTCCATGGGCTCTACCAGTGCACTAATGGCTTCCAGTTCAACAGCGAGTGTAGGATCAAGTGTGAAGACAGCGACACCTCCCAGGTAAGCCTCCTCCTCCTGGAACTTGAGATCAATACCCTAGTCCCTTTCCTCTCTGCTTACCAAAGACCAGCCTATATTCTAAGGACTACTCTCTCCTGGAGACTGTCTACACAGACCGATTGCATAATAGCAATATCACCAATGCAGAAGTTAAGAAACTGGACTCTAATTATCGTCCTTTGCAATCTCTCTGAGCCTCATTTTCCTCTCTACAACACTATATTTTATTTATTCAGAGATTCTCAGATTTGATTTTTTTTTTTTTTTTTTTTTTTTTTTTTTAGCATCAGAACCCTTACAAAGGAAATCCTGTATGGAATTCCTATGTATGAAACAGATCAAAGTGAAGTAACTCTGAGAGTGACCAGGGCCCTTTTGCCAGTCTTTTATCACCAGTGCTACCCATGCTGGTCCTTGAAGTATTTAAAATCACAAGTCTACCACTATCTTTAGACATCACTGGACTCTTGAAGCATAAAGAGAAAGGAGGCCACATTGAGATTAGGAGTACAGATTTGAGAACACTGTGGAGGAAAAGAATGACAGAAGGAGCTGGCAGGGTTTAAACTTTATCTCAGTCAACATGTGACTGCGAGAGTCAGACTCTTCTGCCTGCCCCTGATGAAGGAGTTCTGTGAATGAATTTTCTTCAATCCCCACACGTGCCCCTTACCACCCAACAGGACAGGGAGGGATGAAAAAGGGGAATGAAAGGTCAGCTGGCTCCAAAGACACCTTCCGTCCACATAGAGCTCCATCTTAATAGAACTGGCCATTCAGAGTTGATAACCCAGGCCCCATGCTCCACGGGTGTGCAAGGACCATCAGCCGGGGGGGCCAGTGATCAGTGAGCTAGTCCCTAGTGCAGGTTTCATCCCCTGTCAGTCTTCATTACTTAGTATTAGCCTCCGAATACCAAACACTGCCAAAGCACCATCCTCAATTCCTCCTGCACCCTCTCCCCACATCCACGCAATCACCAAGTCTTACCTGTTCTCCCTCCAAAACCTCTCCTGAAGCTGTTCTCTTCTGTCTGCAATACTACCACCCTAGCTCGGGCCACTGTTTTCTCTGTCCTGGGCCACCACACAGCTTCTTGATCATTTCCGTGTTTTCATTCCCTTGCTCTCTCCCTTATATACTCCACATTTCAGCCAGAGCGATTTGTTTGGTGCATGAATCTCATCATGACAATCTGCCTGCTTAAAACCCTTAACAAACCAGGGACTCCCATTTCCCATAGTATAAAACCCTAACTCCTTAAAGTGTCATTCAAGACTCCTCCCCCATAACAATTAAGACCGATTTTGCCTCTCACCTCTGCATTCTCTACGTTAAAGAGTTTTCCTCTCACCTTTTCCAGCTGCCTGACTCCTCCTCCTCCTTCACAGCTCAGCTCAGACCCCCCTCTTTCTGGGAACCCTTTCTCAGTGTCCCTTCCACTGTTGGGCTCAGTGCCCCTCCTCGGGGTTCCCTTTGTACAGCACTGACCACACGGCATTGTAATTACTTGCATTTCACGTTCCCATGGTAGGCTGTTACATCTGTCGCTGCATCTTTAATCTTCCCTAGGCCCTCAACACTTAGGACAGTGCTAGGCACCTAGTAAGTACTCAGGAAATGACATTTGAACCAAGGGAATGAGAAAAGACTGTGATGAACATCATAGCTCGTTTCCTCATTTTCCAGATGGGAAAACCAAGACTCAGAGAGGTTACTCCAATGCCCAGCATGACACAGCTGGCATCGGCTGAGTCAGAATCAGAATCTGGGTGACCCCCAACTGTGGATAGACTGAGTCCTGTAAGCACCACCTGAAAATTCTTGATAGTGTACACTCACAGGCAACTGTGTACACTCATAAGGTGACAGTGGACACTCAGGGGAGTCATTCCCATCCTTGTCTGCCAGGGAAGCAGAAGCAAGTGCTGGAACAAGCAAAGGCCAGAGATTACCATTGCCTCTCGCAGGCTGATCAACTTCCTTCTGGCTCCGTTACATGAAACTGTTGCTAACAGTTACCCAAACTGCTGAGCCAAATAATATTCTGGCTGTGGTCATGTTATCAAACTGAAACCCAGTCTGCCTGGGGCCTGCCAAGTAACTTTCATGGCCAGTTTGTATTTAAAGGAGAGGAAAATGTAAATTTATCAGACGACTCAGGCAGTTCAGTTTGGCAGCTGGAGGAGAGGCTAGACGCAGAGGAGCAGGGTATTGCTTGTCAGCTCAGAGAATGAGGGAGCGCGTGCCAGACGGGCTCCTGATACAATTGATGTTCCTAGTTTGTACTGAAAATGAATTTCCTCTACCCTCAGACCAGCGGCCTGAGAGCCAAAGCTAGTATTCACCTCAGATTCCCTCTTGCGGCCTGTAAGCACAGCAGACATGCACGTTCCAGAGCATCTTGAATCAAACAGCTTGTATGGAGAGGGAATTCTTTGCTTTCCAAACAAGCTCCAGATCCTGGCAGGAAAGAACCAGAACTGTTGTAGGGGAGATTCACACACTCCCTCCCACTGCCACTAATAGCAAATTAACAAATAAATTCCCACTTCATTCATTCCTTGGGAGCCAGTATGTTGCTGGATCTGGAGTCTGAGTTCAAAACATGGCTTCACCACTTACTAGCTGGAGGACTCGAGCAAGTTACTTAACTCTTTAAGCTTCAGTTCCCTTGTGTGTAAAGTAGAGGGAGGTACACCTTCCTCACAGTTTATTTGTGAAGATTAAATGAGATAATGAAAGTGGGATATGGGTATCCCTGGGAGTTGTGCAGTGCACCATCTGTGCCTCCGTACATGGCACCCTGGAGAAGACACTGATGAACTAGACTGCCTTTAAGGCCATTCCACGGGAGAGTATCCCTAATGCTCCACATGGGCTCCCACAGGACCTGGAAACAAAGGCAACAGATTGAAACCTAGCCCTCTGGTGACTAGCTCCAGAAAATCAGAGAAGGGGGAACCCATTCTGCATGAGGCCAGGATTGGGAGACCAATATGAGCCATAGTGAAACCTGGCCTGTTGATCAAATAAACCTGTAGAATAAACAGTTCTTTAGTCTCTCCAAACCAGCACTGCCCAGCAGAACCTTCTGCTATGATGAAAATGTGCCATATCTGTCATATCTATGCTGTGCAATATGGTGGTCACTGGTGCCACAGACTTTCTCTCTTTCGACAACTCAACAAACATTTGAGAAAGAAACAATATGTCCATTTTACAGATGAGGAAAGGAGGCCTGGGGAAGCTAAGTTCTCCCCGGGGGTACGAGTTATAGGTGGCATTCTGTCTGACTCCACGGCCCCGCTCTTTCCACTGCTCCCCAGCATTTGCAAGGCAGGCTGGTGGCAAAGGGAAGCGATTCCAGCTCCAGGCAGATGGGAGAAGTGCTAATTGTCTGAGGATTTAGTCCAGCTCAGATGTTCCTGATCTGTTTGAGGTGGTAACTCAGGACCCAGCTCCATGTGAGAAGCATTGGGGGGGGGGCTTTATAGGTGATTAGAGGAGCCACCAGCCTGGGGATGGGAAGAGGGTCTGTGGGAGATGAGTGCAGCAGGGGAAGGCAAAGGCTGAGGGTGCTTTGTGGACAAAACAATGCTCTTAATGGTGGATTTCAGCAACTCAGCAGGAGCAAGAGAGGAAGAGTGGGAATCCACAACATACCCAGTCATTGCATGGGCCACAGACGGTGGCTGTTAAAGCCTGTCCACCATGAGTGGCATGGAGCTGGCCCCTGCCTTTATGGGCTCTGCTGCAGACAAAGCGTAGCTCCCCAATGTACAGTGCCTTGGCAGGCAGGGGCAGCTTCTCATTTCCGGGTTGTTAAGTATTTGCCCAAGTACCCAGGGCTTCCTAGAGAAAGTCAGAAACATCCCAGACCCATGTGATGTTAAAGCTAAGGAGGACCTCAGTGACCCCCACTGCAACCCACTTATTTTACAGATGGGACCACTGAAGCCCAGAAAGGGGAAGGGACTTAACCAAAGTTACACAGCAAGTTTCTGGCAGAACCAGTTCTTAAACCAAGTCTCCTAACCAAGTCACTGCACAAGCCACATTTTTGGTCCATCCTCATTCCTGTTGCTGCATGTCATCCCTGTACCTTACTTGGAGGAAATGAAATGCACAGAGGGCAGTGGCCAGGAACAGAGGCAAATGATTAGCAGCAACTGCAATTTAATGGACACTTCTTATATGCCAGTTGCTGGGCTAAGTATTTTACAGGAATCTCTTCTTTTAAGCCCCACAACATCTGGTATTACTATCCCACTTTACAGATGAAGTTCAGAGGGGCAGTGGTTTGCCCCATGCTATGCAATCAGGAGGGGGTAGAGCTGAGCCTCCTGTCATTAGAGCAGGTGCCTCCAAAGCTTAGCCATCTGTCTCCCTCACTGCACCCCCCAGTTCTGCCTTCTTCTGATGCCACCACCTTTTTCTCTGCCATTATTTCATTTATTAAGGAAAAGAAGTCTAATTCTCCCTCTCTCCCTTCTTTCTTTCTTTCCCTCCATTGTAGTAAAGACACAGAGGCTTACAGTTGAGAGTTGAGATTCTGGCATTGGCAAGCTCTGTGACTGGTGCCGTCTGCCTCCCCTTTGTGGCTACTGCCATTTCTAAAATGCACAGTTGGTTGGGTTGATTCTGAAGATCCCTTAGAGATAGTACAGCAGAGTGGTTGAGAGCCTTGTCAAACATTGAGAGAGCCGTATGTGTGTTTGTCTGTGTGTGTGTGTGTTAGGCTTTCAGTGCTTCATGTAAACTGACTCTCTCCATCCTCATGACAACTCTGTCAGGTAGCGGAACCCACACCCATTTACCAGATGAGGAAATTGAGGCAAAGAGAAGTTTAGGAACTTCCCCAAGTCCACCTGGGAAGTTGCGGAATTGGAGTTTGAATCTAGGCAGTTTGACTCAGGTCCAGGCCCTTTGAGTGCTAGCAGCATTCAAAAAGTCATTTTTCACTTCCTAACTGAGCCTCATCTTCTAAATCTGTAAAAAGGACATAACTTCTACTCTACTACAGTGTTCAAATGATGTTTAAAACACTGGGCACATAACAGGTGTTTGATAAAGGAATTAATATATGCCTTCAGCTTTCTATGGATCTGTGTAGCTAAAGAGCTAGGGGAATTAGGGAGAGCACAACATGCTTTTTTACAGACAGACCCATAGGCACAGGGAAGCAAACTGTTTTGCTGAGGGATGCTCAGGCCTCTCGAGACAGATTTTACCTTAGCACACATAATTGTTCATTTGGAGCCAAACATAGCCAGTCAGTTCCCTGACAACACTGAGAAAAAGTGGTCTCTGGTCTTCCCAGATTGGATCCTCAACAACGTTAGATCTTCTGTGGTCAAACCAGACTTAATCAGCAAGGATCTACTCTGAGGGTCTGCATCAAGTGATAGGCAAGTGATGAAAGCACCAAGATCTAGTCCTGAAGAAAATCCAGAGAGGCTCCAAAAAGTCTGCTGTACAGAGGGCACAGCAAGGGTGAAGATGTGCAGGTAAAGCAGCAAGAGAAGTTTGCAGGAGAGACAAGGCGATTCGCTTGACTGGAAGGAAGGGTATGAGCATAGCAAGAGATGCGGCCAGAGTGTCCTTTGGATCCCACTGTGGATGCCCTGGAGTGCCAGCCTATGTGTATGCCTAGTTCTGAAGGCTAAGGGGTCTCAGTAGAAGGGCGCCATATTTTTTTTAAAGCGGGTTTGCAGCAGAAGGTGCCAGATGAACCGAGCAGGAGAGAGAGTCTGGAGGCAGCAAGACCAGTGCTTTATGCCCCCACCTTCCATCCATGGTGGTGCCTCCCCAGTTTAAAACTCCCTGAGTAGATTCCAGTTAGTTCTAACACAGTCTCTGCTACAGACCGGGCTCTCCAGCCAGCTCTGGCCCATGTAGTGCTGAGGTCTGCAGCCCTTCAGGGGCTGGAGGCCAAATGCATCATAGGCCCAGGCCAAGGCTCCAGGAAATGGGGTCAATTTCCTACTCCCCTGAGAGCCCAGTGGAATCATGGGGCCTGGAGCCTGAGGCTCTGAGAGGGAGAGTCGGGGTTCTCTGAAGCCACATGAAGCTGCCTAAGTTTGTCCTGAGCCTACACAGAGCCTCCAGGAGTGGACTCTGCAAGTCACCCACAGCTGTGTGTTCAGGATGGGCCAACTTCTCCCAAGACCAGAGAGGTTTCCACTGTAATGGCCCCCTCCTCATGCTGGCCCAGGAGAGGCCTGGAGAGGGGCTCCCCTTCTCTTCTGAATCCTATCTCCTGCAGCTGTTTTCTCAGACAGGGGAGCTTCAGCCTGCATCAGCCCTTTATAAGAGTTTATTTATTTCCTAATGCATGCATGCCTTCATTTATTCCTTTATCCATTCATTTGTTTATTTACTCACTTACGCATTCATTTCCTCATCCAAGCATTCATTTATTTCCTTGCTTATTTAAAAAAATTCATTCTATCACTCTCCACCTATTCTCCCTATCTTTTGTTCAGCAAACGGTTCTTGAAAGAACGAAAATATCTATTGAGTAATGAATGAACGGTCTGAGCAGCCAGCGACTGTTAGCTGTTGTGAAAGTCCCTGAGGACACAGGGATGAATAGGGTGCCATCCTGGGCCTTGAGCAGCTCCTCATCTAGTTGGGGAACAGTGGGTGAACAAAGAGGTAATGCCACATTAAAGACATTATGGTGGTGCCCCGTGCAGAAATGGGGCACCATCAGGTAGGATGCGTTGTTGTCTGCCAGGTGGATGGGGCAGGGAGGAAACAGCAGACAGGAGAAGCAGGAGCACAAAAGCGCAGCATATGGTGCCTTGAAGAATGCAGGTGACTGAAGCTGAAGTCCCAGGTTGGTGGTGCTGTGGAGGACAATGAACTAAGAACTAAGTGGGGCTGGGAGGGCTCTGGAGGCCAGGCACAGGAGTCTGAACGGAAGCGGAAGGTCGTGGGGAGGCATTGCTTGAATTTTTGCACTGGTGGGGGCATAGTCAGCTCCTCTGGCCTCATGTCGAGGTTCTCAACTTATGACAAGCTTCAGAGAGAGAGAGAGTAGACAGCTTGTTCTCAGATCTTTCAGACGATGGACTCCCTACACAGAAACCATCTGTGGTTCTCCGTTTCCTTAGGGGAAGAGTCCGAACTCCTTACGCTGACATTCAAGGCCCCACACCTTGTCCACTTGGCCAGCTCATCTGCCTCCTTCCTCCTGAGGCATAGAACCAGAACCTCACCGGGCTCTCCAGTGCTCACCATCCTTTCCTGCATTCGCACACGCCCTCCGTCTTCCAGGAATGTCCTTCTGTTCCTTTTCTGCCTGAGATTCTTACCCGTCCTTGAAAATTCTTTTCCACACATTCCCTCCTCTCACAGGCCTTCCTGGTGGTCTCTCCCCACCGTTACTCTCCCCCTTGGACTCACGGCACTGGGCTACGTTTGCCTGCGTCACTGAGCACAGTCATATTGATGTGGCTGGCTGCCGGCATGACTGCCTGTCCCACTTGCTCACTGCGCCCGGAACTGGCTCTCTTTCCTTTTGTACCCCACAGAGCTGGGTGCAGAGAGGCCACTAAGAAATGTTTCTTGAATTCAGTAATAGTTCTGAAATATCTCCAAGGGAGACCTCCCATTGGATTCTTGGAGGTTGGAAGGGGGCTTGGAGAAGGGACTGTGTCTTCAAGCTGCATTTTTCTGATACTTTGCAGGAAGTTGAGAAACTGTGTATTGCCTATTCTAAAGAACTGGGAGGGGAAACAGAAGTATCCCCAATCCCCCATCTTGGTGCCATTATGGCTGGAATGGAAGAGAAAGGGAAGGGAAGGGAAGAGAGGAAAAAGGAAAGAAGAAGGAAGGAAATGCCCAGGAAGAAAATGTTCTTAGCTGGGCCAGGTTACCAGTTAATGTATGGCAGAGCCCTGCCATAGGAGAGGAAGCAGGCTTTGGTGTATACCTCACTCCTCGTGAACAGCTCCGGGCCTGTGCTCTTACCCGCTGTATCAAGGAGAGAACTGATAAGCCCCTACCTTCTCCATTAAAAATAACTACACAAATTAAAGCTATAATTGCTCCTCCTGAAGTTTCTGAAAGACCACTAAGCTAGTACCTGGGACTTAAGCTGTCTGGAAGCCTTGAGCAAGTTTCTCCCTGCTCTGAGTTCTCAGTTTGCCCATCTGTAAAATGGAGCTACCTATAATAGCTCTCTTTCAGGGTAATGGAGTTTCAACCATGGTTAAGAAATTGTTTTGGAACACTTTTAAGAGCTCTGGGGAAATGAGAATTTGTTTTTTTCTTTATTCCAAAAGGCTTATCCTGTGGGGGCCTGTGGTGTCTCTTGGTCCTGACCGTGTTTCTGTGATATTCAGGGTCGTGGGAATAATGTCATCCATTGCCGGAAAGATGGCACCTGGAGCGGCTCCTTCTATGTCTGCCAGGAGATGCAAGGCCAGTGCTCGGCCCCGAACCAGCTCAACAGCAACCTCAAGCTGCAGTGCCCCGACGGCTATGCCATAGGTATGAGGGGCCCACAGGGGAACAGCGGGAGGGATAGGTCCTTCCAGGAACTGGGGCTAGTGCCCAGGGGGTCAGGAGCACCTCTTCCATGTGAGGCCCTGCATGGGCACCAGGGAGACAGAGATGAATGAGAGTAGACCCTGTCTTCCCAGAAAGAGAGTCAGGGACAGGGACACTGGGGGAATAATGGCAGGCGAGTGTGCACTTTACACCAGAGCACAGAAAAGCTGTCTGGTGCCTAGGGGGACACAGAGGCTCCCAGAAGAAGGGATGCTTACACAGGGATTAGGAAAAGCATGTTGGACCAGAAATGGCATTCCAGACAGCCGGAACCACGTGGTCAAAGAGCAGGAGATGTGAAAGCACACATCATGCTTAGGGAAGCAACAGAGTTGTGTGCGGCTGCTTTTATTATTCATCTCAAAATGCATCCTATGAAATACTCACGAGTGCTTGCTATGGGTCAGGCCCTGCATCAAGCACTTGAAAAGCATTCTATCTTACCCTCTCAATCACCTTTAACGCACGAGGCAATTGACACTTGTGGAGGTAATGGAATATATCCCAAATCCTGAGCATCTCAGCTGCCTCCAAAATGATCACAAATAGCATTTTCAAAATACTGTTTGTGTGGTGATAGGCCAGCTGGAAAATGCACAGAACGAGAGGGACAGCCTGGGATTTTATGCCAGGGATCTGCCCGGTTGAAACCAGGCGTCTGGACAGATGCATTAATCACAAGCCCCATGGCTTTCCGGGGAACTTGGAGTGCATGGAGTCTGACCTCCTCTTGGGCTGATTTCCTAATTGACCATGATGAAAAGCCCGGGGAATTGAATGTACTTTCTCATGGCCAACGTGATTTATGGGGCAATTGCCAGGGATGTCTGGCGCAGAAGGTTATCTGAGTGTGCACAGACCCAACATGTTCTTCACCCAGGAAACCCAGAGTTATCACTGCATGTCCAGAGCAAGGCCTGTGGTTGGAGAGTAGAGGTATGCCTTTTGAAGACGGGAGCATACAATCTCAGATAGCAGAATCACTTCACCTCAACTTAGAGCAGGAATCAGCACTCCCTGCATGTACTCCAAGGGCTCTTGCTCTTGCAGGGTCAGAAAACACCAAAGCACACGGTTGCCCTCTCTCTGATGTTTTGGAAGGTACTTTAAGATCTTACAGGGCTTGCTGGCTAGTTCAGTTGGTTAGAGCATAATGTTGATAATACCAAGGTCCAGGGATTGATCTCTGTTACCAGCCAGCCACTCCATCCACTATGCCCCACCAAAAAATAAGAAAAGAAAAGAAAAGAAAGAAAGAAAGATCTTACAGAGCCACTAATCTAAGGAACCCCAGGAGGGTTTCAGAGAGATGGGATCTTGTAGGGCCTGGAAATATAGGCATTCTAGAAGGTTGGGGCAGCAGGTGTAACCATGGTGAGCAGATTCATCTCAATGCCAATACTTTCTCCTCACCGTCATTCCTGGGGGATGTGCATGGCTCAAGACACTTATATCTGTGATGGGATCAATCAGAACATACAAGGGAATATTTAGCCATATTCATAATTGGCATTGAGCAGCTCTGTGAGAAAAATTCTGATTAAGGGACCTTTATTAAAAAACCTATAGAAATAGATTTGCCATGTGTCTACACCCACTGAGACATCCAAATAGATTTACACATGCAAAAATATACACAATAAGCAGAAATGCTTCGTAACCAAACATAGTCCCAAGCACACGCATCATACAAACTTATGCCTAGCACCTCCATATCCATATGAGCCCAATTGCACACAAGTGCATCCCTCACACAAACACATGCACATGCATGCACCTACACATAACACATGCACACACACAATACACAAGTGCACGCACTTCATCGGCAAAAACACATCTTAGGCCCTGAAACTTATCAAACACACAGAATCTGCACAAAAGGCAAACAGATCTCACACACACATTTTCACGAACACATCTCACGGCCGCACTGTGTGTGACTGCATTCCTGTGTCACAGCCACACGTGATGAGCCGCAGTGCCAGGCTCTGTACTCTTCCCTCAGGACAGTCAAGAGATGGGGAAGGGGTGTGGTGGTGGTTTTCCTTTACCTGCTGAACTCTTTCATGGTCAGAGTAGAAGGGGAGAGAAGTCCGCATGATATTGGAACTCGATTTGCCTTCCCCTCCCTCCTACCCCTTGTTCCCATGGCTGTCCAGCCCACATGCCTATCTTATGACTGGTGATCTGGAGTGGGTGATGGGTGGATAGGAGCACTTTGGAGGAGGCAGAGGGAAAAGAACAACACAGGGAGACGGTGAGAAGGATGGTAGGGAAGCGGGTTTCCCTCCCCACACCTCAGCTCTGTCTCATCTCCCTCCAAAAGGCCCCCACATCCACCTCCTAGGCTGAGCTTCTGCCTGGGGAGAACCCACTTCCCCATTGACAGGGATTTGATCAAAGGCCTTGTAAGCAGGGGTGAGCTATGTGTGCAGATTGGGGCTGGAGTCCCCCGCAGTGGGCTCTCTCTGGGACCCTCTCCCAAGCAGCCTGGAGAGGCTTCTGTAGCAGTTCTGAGCCCTGGGAAAGTTGCTGCTGTGCCTCTGCTGCTGCCACCAAGTCTGCCACTCTCCCTGAGCCTCCCGGGAAGGAGAGGCGGGGCCTGGTGAGATCACCAGTCTGTAATGATGCCAATTAAGGCTCATATATCACAACACAGCAGCCTGGTCCTGAAGCTTAAGAGCCGAGGCTGGGGGAGGGGAGCCAGAGAAAGAGAAATTAAGACAGGACTGCTGCATAGGACAGCAAATGCCTCCTGTGTTGGCCACATTTTTTTCTGTCTTGGGATAAGATCACCTTTGTCTATTTCTCAGAGGCCGCATTTTTTTTTTTTTTTTTTTTTTTTATTTTATCATCACAGCTTTGTCTCATCTTTGATCCCTAAAAACTCGTTTGGAACTGGTCTCATGATAAAACATTCAGCACTAAGTTTCTCAGACTCCGTAGGGATTTTTCTCCTATTCTCGTCCCTCATCTTGTTTGTCTTTCTGCTTGCCACCCATTTCTTTTCTCCCCTCTGGCCCTCCACCCTCCTTGCCCCTTTCCACTGCCGCCTACCTCTCTTCTCCCTGTGTAGCTGCACCTTATCCATGGCTGGATCTGGAAGTCAGAAAATGTGGACCTGAATCTATGGCCGTCTGCTCACAGCTTTACCTGAGCTCTGTGCCCTTTAGTTCTTAACCTGGGAGATGGGTGTGGTGACACCTGTCTCACTGGGCTGGATTTGCAGGGAAATGAGGTGACATAGGAAAACCACCTGGCAAGGCTAGGGATCTCCCTGTTTCTGGCTCAGTGTCCCCACTTTTGAAATGAAGAGGTTCTAAACATTGTCCTAGTCCTACCACTCCACCCTTGCCCCCCTCTTCATACCCTGTGAGTCTTTTAGACTGAAGTAAATAATAAAAAAATAATAACGGTAACGGGAAGGGGCACTGGGTAGATTATATACATATATGTATATAAGCATGTATGAATATTACATATGTACATGTGCATATATACATATACATATATGTATTTAGATGAGGGTCTTTAGAATGGTTAGTCACATAAGATATTTAAAGAAAAAAGTTGACGCTTCTAGTGAACCATTTAGTGTTCACGTTTAGCAGAGGGCAGTTTGGGCACTAAGATGGAGAATGACCTCCTTAGGGCCTGATCAGATGCTGACAGGTCAGATCTTTGTCCACATGAATACCTCTCTAGAGTCCTGGGGACAGCCCATGGGATACGTTTGATTTTCAGGAGACCTCAGAATGTGTGAGCTCAGGGTGGAGAATGAATGAGCCAACATATAGTCAACTTGCCAACCCATATCCTGAAAGTAACTGTCTTCACCCACAAGGACCGAGGCTTCCGTGCACTAGCCCTGTCCCTGCCAGTCACCCGCCCCTTCACTGACTCATTACCTGGTTCAGTTTTTCATTCCTTTGTCCATTCAGTCCGTCCTCTACTCATTCACTCATCCATTTACGCATGTGCGTCCTCCTTTGTAAGGTACCTAAATGCCTGTTCATCGCTCACTCGCTGCACCGTTCATTCGTTCATTCATTCTCTCTCTTGCACATTTCCTCACTCACCTCTGCACTCGTTCACTCACTGCCTCTCTCGTTCATCTGCTGAGCACAGTGCTGGACTCTGGCACGGAATGGGGAGCACAGACAGTGCTGGCCCCATGGCGTTACCATCCAGCATGTGACAAATGCTGGGATGGGCACCTACGGGGGGTTGGAGGTCTTCTCGGAGCAATTGGCTCTTGGACGGAGGTCTGTAGGGTCATTAGTAGTGCACTCATTGAAGAGGAGTGGGAAGGGTCTTGAAAGAATGGGGAGGGTGGGGATATGTGAGGAGAAGCATGGGGATAGGAAGTGTGGGTCACATGTATGTACTCAGCACTCCCTCAGCCGATGCTCACGGAGTGCTCCCTGGGTGTCAGGCACGAATTAGACCCAGAGATGAATCGACCACATTTCTGCCCTGCTAGGGCAGCACTAACTCTGGGGAGGAGGCACAAGGGGTGAGGGCAGCCCCGGAGTGAGACTCGTCACTGCCCGACAGAGAGAGAGATCACATGCAGTAGGCATTCGGAAGACACGTGCTCTCACTCGGTGGCAGAAATCAGGGCAGACTTCTTGGAGGAGTCGAACTGGGCCCTGAAGAACTGATAGGATTTGGCTACGGGAGGGCAGGTCATGAGGAGTTTTCAGGGTCTGGGTTAAATAGGGACAGAAGCGCAGAGGTAGGGACTGAGATGGAAAACCAAGTGTAGCTCAGTCCTGTTGGACCAACCAAAGCGGGAAGGTGGTGAGTGGGAGAAGAGATTGGCCAGACCAAGGGAGACACTGAAGGCCCAGCAAATGGGTTGGACTCTGTCCTGGATGTGGGGAGCCCTGGAAAGGTTTTCCAGCAGAGGAGCAGCATAACCCACCTGGGCTCAGGGACAGGGAGCATGGCGGTGCGTGCCAACTGGATTGGAGATGAGCGAATGGAGTCAGGAAGATGAGAGGTGGCCCTGCCAGGGGAGCTCTCTCCTTCGCACTGCCCTGCGGGTGGGACAGCTGGGGACCAGAGGTCAGCAGGGCTCACTCTGTGGGAGGACAGCCTGTGGGCATCAGAAGACTGGGGGCTGAGCCGCTGCCACGTGCTGTGCTTCCCCCCAGGGTCGGAGTGTGCCACCTCGTGCCTGGACCACAACAGCGAGTCCATCATTCTGCCAGTGAACGTGACCGTGCGTGACATCCCCTACTGGCTGAACCCCACTCGGGTGGAGGTGAGTGACCAGGGATACCTGCCTGTGGCTAAGGGGGAGGGAAATGACATTACTGAGCACTTGTTGTGTCCCGGTCCTGAGTCGGTCACTTTACATATATTATCTCATTTAGTCATCACACCTGGCCTGTGGGATGGGGACTGGATCACAATCATTTCGCTGTTTTGTGGAAAGCAATTCCTCAGTGACATAAAGAACTAGTGACACCTATTGTTTATGGAGCACCTACCATGTCCATGTGCCTGGTGCTTAGCACACGAGACTACATAAACTTAAGAACAGTCGTGTGAGGAAGGGGTCGTTGTCTGCATTCTCTGGTTGTGGACACTGAGATCTCAGAGGTGACGCGATGGGCCCAGAGTGAGGGGTGGAACCCAGACCCGCATCCAAGCACTGTGGTGTCCCACGCTACCAGGCTGGCATTGTCCCTGCCTTGTGGCACTCCGTGTCATTTCCTACTTGACTTTCATTGGTGGTCCCACTTTCCTTTATGTCATCAGATCGATCGGGGCCCCCAGAGCTGATGCGGGACCCACTCTTGTCCCAGGTCTCATGTGTCACTCTGGGCACTCACTGGCTCCTCACCCTGGAGAAAGGGAGAGAAGGGGGTGGGGGCAGGCAAGGCTGGGCGTTTCTGCCGGGGGTGCTGGGAGGCCTCACAGCCTCGGGGAGCTGCCGTGCACCCGCCTGCTGCAGATCGTGCTTGGAGAGCTGGGGAGAACCCGACCCTGGGTGTTCTGTTTCTCAAACGAGCTGCGGGCACCATTGCGAGGGCTTGCTCAGCACTTGGGCGTAGGGACCTGGCCGGACCTCTCCACTCCCCCGGTTCCCTGCATTCTCCTCCCTCCCCTCTTGCCCTGTCTCCACCTTTGTCTCTCCAACTTCATTTTTTCCCTGCCTGTATTTTTGCACTCCCCGTTTCTCTCCCCCTCCTGATATCTCTTTGACCTTGCTCTGCCTCCCTCCCTCCCACACGCTATCCTCCGTCACCATCCTCTCTTCTCTCTGCCTCCGACTCTCCCACACATCCACAGACAGCCCTGTCCCCCTCACCTCCTGCTCCTCCACCTGCTCCTTGTACCTGAATGCACTTTCCCATTCCTAAACCAGAATTCCCACATGGATTCCCCCTGAATGCCCCAGCATGTGCAGATGTGCTGAACACACCTGGGAGCGTGCATGTAGCTGTATGTCGGAATCCCAAGGCAGCTGGGGATCATCCAGTACAAGTCCCTCATTGTATGGGTAGAGAAACTGAGGCTCAGAGAGGGAGGTGACTGAGCCAGGGTCACACAGGCCATAGAGCTACAGCTACGAGCCAGGACCCGTGATCAGCAGCTCCTTTGACACTACCCCCTCCCGTCCCTTAGCCCACCCGCACGCCCATGTACCCGAAAGCAGGTGGGCATTACTCATACCAGAGCAGACACAGGAGACCTCCCTGTCACCTCAGACTCAGTGGCCTTCTTGGGCTGGCCCAGCTCTCCTCCAGGCCTTCTCCGTCCCCCCTGGGTGAATTTCTACCCTTCCCTCTGTGGGCCTTGGGCACTAAAGAGTTCAGTTATAATTCACTGTGAAATAAATCCTGGGATTTGAAAGCCTGCAAGACCCCCCACCCCACCCTCCAGTCGCCCACCCGCTGCCTGCCCACCCCTGCCCCCACCCAGTTCCCTGGTCTGCCTGCCTTTATTGATGCCGGCCTACCGAGAGAACCGTAACGAGGTTCAGACCTCCACCGTCTCTGGAGGCCTCATTATCCAGGAGGAAAAAAATGTGGTAGAAAAAGGGAGGAGGGTGAAGGGCAGAGATTGATGATTTCCAGGAATAAGGCAGAAAAGCTGGCCTCTGCTGCACCCCTGCCCCTCGTGGTGCGGTGAGAGCTACAGAAATAGAGCTGCTGGTGCAGCGTTTCCAGGCCAGAGGAGGCCCAGGTAGTGCCTCTGCTTTCTGAGGGTCTGCCTCTGAGCCCCAGTGCAAAGTAGAAGGTCAACAGTGAGGCTCTGTGCCAGCTCCTGCCACCTTTGTTCCAGGGTAAGAGAGTGAGTGGTGAGAAATCACATTTAAGGAATGCCTGCTGTGATCAGGCACTGGATCAGGCATTTCCCACCACACGCATGCATGCGCATGCACACACAAACCTGCGAGGTGGGTATTAGTCTCTTCGTGTTTCCATGGAATCTCAGAGATGGAAACCACTTGCCTAAGAGAAACCGAAGAGGGACCAGGCCAGTATGACACCGCAGTTTGCTCCAGCTGCCCCTGCAGCCTCTATGCAATGTCGGATAGTACTAATGAAGGCAAGACGTTCACTCATCACTTACCAGGGATGTGCTGGCAAATGTTGAACAACCAGCTCTTCACAAAAAAACAAAGTCTGCATTTGCCACTTTCTGTGGTGTAAATATTCCCACCATGGCAGATTTCAAGGCTTCCAAATTGCTGTCACAGAACACAAAGTTGAGCAGATACAGGAATGAGTGGCTCTCTCAAGCCTAGGCAAGCCAGCTGCCTGCCACCCACCCCAGCACTTACCCATGACAGACTTTTTTATGTGCTTTCCATGTATTGATGTGTATGAAGAGACGGACAGCTGTGTAGCTGAGTGGAATATCAGCATTGACCCTACCGTGACTGGTGCATCAGAACAGAGAGCTTCATGAAGGCAGCTGCATGGTACCTTCCTCAGTGCCTAGCACACAGCAGATGCTCACTAAATGCTTATGGTGGCTGTGTCAAGTGACCAGGTACAAGCCTTCACACCTTCTGGCTGTCCTGGAGCCATCATCACTTCTCTAGGCCACAGTTTCCCCGTTTGTGGAATCATGTGGAGGTGGAATAAATGAGTAAAGCAGGCCCAGCAGATTATTTTGTATATTAAGCACCTTGGCATATTAGTAGCAGTAATATTTACTGTAAACATTTCAGAAAGACAGAAAAATATAACACCTATGTACATACTACCCAAACTAAAAAATAAAATAATACAGACACAGGTGAAGTCCTTTTCTTTTTATTGAGATATAATTTACATTCTAATCTTGAACATGAAGCTTGATACATGTTCATGTTTGTGTACCCTCGTGAAACCCCTGCCCACATCAGACAGTGGGTCTTCCAACTCCCCATAGAATCCTCCCCTCCCCATGCCAGGCAATGTCTCCATCACTTTGGTCACCAGTATTTTTGTCTCTATCACTATGGATTGGTTTTGCTTATTTTTGAAATTCATATAGCTGGAATCATACAGTATATGTCTCATGAGGTTCTTTCATAGGCATATTTTTAACTTCCGTAGAGAAAAACACTCAACTCCCTTCCCGCACATGTACTTTTGAAAGAGACAGAGGTTCAGAGAACTCTTCCTCTAACCTAACAAGTGAGATTATACAAACTCAATGATAAATGAAAATCCCCCTCAGGTTCAGCGCTGGAGCGACTGTAGGGAATGGTGGAAATTATGGTAAATTATAAAAAACACAGGATTTTTTGTGTTTGAAATCTTTTTTCGTTTTTTAATATTGGCAACTAATTTTGACTTTTGTTAAGCATGTGCATGCCAAACCAAATATGTGTGTGGGTTGTATAGGATAGAAGCTGTTGGCTTGCAACTTTTGGAAGAGATAGACTTTTTCAGCCTGGATATCTAGAGTTCAGGGGTGGCAGCCTCTCTCCCATGAGCACCTAAGGAGGATCTCCAATATGTCCCCATACTGTTTCTTGCTCAGGGATGCCGGGAGAATTTCACAATAGAAAATCCAGCTTCTATCATGAGAAGCTTTTAATTCTTAGGTACCTGGGACCTTGGTTTTTACAATGGCTTCTGGAAAAATAATGGAAGGAGGAAAGAGAAGAAGAGAGGAAAAAAGAGAGGAAGGGAATGAATGAATGAAAGGAAAGGGAAATGACCCGTTTATTGACTGTTTATGATATACAAGCACTGTCTGCTGGGCAGTTCCATATATACCACCTTGTTTTGTCTCCATCACACCCCAGTAAGGTAAATATTATCACCATTTTACAGAGGAAGAAGCTGAGGCTCAGCGAGGTTCAACTCACATAACTAATGTGGTTGAATTAACTAGCTGATTCCTCTGCAGTTCATCCTGCCAGGCTACCATCCTACACATATAAAAAAATAAACATATTCAACATACACAGACAGAGGATGCAGAATTCTACCTTGAAAAGAAGGCAGCACTGTGGGAAACCCTGCCGAGAGTCTAAAGGACAGAGGAAGAAAGGATCTGAGTGACTATTAAGTCCAATCTATTGGATGTGTAGAAGGAGATACTAAGTGCCCTAGAGGAGAAACCTATAGACAAAAAAATGCAGCTGGAATCTGTTGATTTCTCCTTCGCTCAAGGACACACTCATTCATCCACACAGTTGATCGTGTGTTCATTCACTCGTCAACACACATGAATTATACACTTTCAAACAACAGGTGTTTTTTAAGCACTAGGGATACAGAGTGAAAAATGTCTAGGCCTTTATAAAAGCTTACCCAGAAGAAGGCCAGAAGCTCAGTGACTGAAAACAAAGGCAAGATGGTGAAGATGATGATGATGATGATGATGATGATGATACAATTGTCTCATAGCAGGTCCTATAAATCAAGGGAAAAAGAGGGATTATCTTAGAAGACATTGAAGAGGGTGTCAGCCCTGAGCCTCAGGAGGAGGCTCCCTTAAGATGCTTTCTCACATGTCTTCAGCTCTGTTTGGCACCTGTCTTTTCTGCATTTTTTTATTTAGTCTCTCTGCCCCGTCCTGCATTTGTCTCAAAGCCTCTCCACCTCTCCGAACCTTGGTCTTTCTGTCATTCAAAAGAGTAACCTATTTTATATTTACAGCTTCAAGGGTTAGGGGATTTTGAAGGAGAGTGTAGTGTTCAAAGTACAGACCTTGAAATCAGACAGGTGTGGGTTTAATAGTTGACTGTCACAGCCTCTGTGTACGACTTTGGGTAGGTTGCTTAACTTCTCTGTGCCTCAGTTTCCTCTTGTGTAAACCAGAGTCAAAAATAGTACCTATCTCACAGTGATGGTAAGAATTAAATAAGATGAACACAGGGTGTGGACCATCATCCTCATATAATAGAGGGTTTTATGCTGATGAGGATGGTGATGATGATGGTTGGTGGTGGCAGTGGTGATGATGATGGCAGTGATGTAGTGATGATGCTGATGTTGATGATGATGACAACTGCAGCCAGCAAGAAAAGACAGTCTATTCTTCCTATGCACCAAGGCAGGAAGGGAAAGCCCTCTTACCAAACCTGGTCTGAAAGAGCTCTGGCTGGGCCACATGTCTCTTTGGCATCAAGAGGAGCAAGGCTGGCACGTGAGGGGCCCCGTCTGGGATCTCCCACCTTGTGGTATAAACAGCCGAGCCTTTCTCCTTCAGCTCCCACGGCCTGTCCCCTTTCCCAGTTCTCCTCGCACACAGAGGGGCCCTGTGGTGAGACAGGTGGAGCGTGCAGCCTTGAGTAATAGTGGAAAATCCAAAAGCCTTGGAAAGATAAATAGGCACATGCAGATAGTATAAAAGTGCTTTCTCTGAACTCACGTCAGGTAAACCTCAACTGACAGAAACTTGTGCAAACACAGCAAGACACTGCTACAGACGGATTAAATTAGCTCTCAAGTAAACAGGGGGAGGGATGGGCACTGAATTCCTGGTGGATCCTTACCCTGCTGTGTTCTACTTCTCGAACTTTTACCAAATGCCCTCCAATATCCTTGGACTTTGGTGGGGAACAGGCTCTAAGACTCAGAGATAAAAGTCTGGTCAGAATTTCCCAGAGAAGAAAAACAGGTAATTCTCTCCTCTCTGGACCTATGGCTGGAAAGCAGAGGAGAAGAACATAGTTACTGAGGTTACTCACATTCCTTCATTTGTATTTGCATCACATTCCTTCATGTATTTGTTCACAGTGCTTCATGCTTGACCCTGGAGGGAGACAGATGTGGCTAAAACCCAGGACCTTCCCTAAAGAAGCTTAAGAAATCAGGTCCAGGTTAACTATATCCACATCATTAACCCCAATGTGTCATCACAACAAGCCAATGACATTTTCAGTACCCATTTCACAGATGGGAGAACCAAGCCTCAAACCAGAAATTTATGAAGAAATTTCAAGTCAGAATTGCAACCCCACCCATCCTATCTCAAATCCCATGGTCTTTCCCATATTCCACTTTGTATATGTATTGGGAGAGGGTAAACATTGTTAATAGAGGCAGTAGGGAGCTAGATGGTAGATTTCACATTGCAAGACTGATTGGAAGATCATCAAGTTAGGCTCTTTGTCCAGGATCTTTAATTTAATTCAGTCTGCTCTCTGTCCTCTAGACAATGTGCTTGGCATTGTAGATATGTTGCTGATACTCTACAACAGAGGAAGACAAGTAAAGAAAATATTATCCATTGGTAAAATTTTCTGATTTTGACATGGACTCTTTTCTTCACAAAAAATTTATTGAGCATCTGCTATGTGCTAGGCACTGTAATAGGCATGGGAGATCCAATGTGAAACACAAATGCTGTGGAGCAAGGAAGAAAGGCACCAACCTGGACTGAGCCTGGAGTCACAGGATTCCCTTTGTCACAAGCTTGCCAAGAAACCTAATTACAGTTTGGCTCCCATGTAGGTTTTCCCTCGGGGAGAGAATGGGATGGTCACATGGACTTTCTACATTCTGGACCATGTGACTGTTAATTTCTTAATTAAAATTCGTCAACTGGCACTCAACCAGGAAAGCAATCACTGATTATATAGAGTTCCATGGCTGGTCCCTGACACAGTTACCTCTCACTGCAAATCTAAGCATGTGCTATTGCATCATATTGTTTGTATTGTATTGTATTATTTTTAAAGAAATAATTGTAATCTAGCGTGAAAATTGAGGCCTCTATGAAAAATAGAAAAGGGAGATTCTAGAATTTTTATGATAACCCTAGTCCTGATACAATTTTATCTTTCTAGGTTTGTCTATCTTTCTTCACTCAACTACTTTAAAAAAATATCATCTTGTTGGGTTTTATGTTATGAGCTGCCTTAAATCATTTCTGTAACAGTTGCTTGTTTTCAAATCCTGATTTCTCCATCTAACAGCTATGAAGCTTGGGGAATTTGTTCTCCTATGACTTGAGATTAATGCCCACCTCACAGCATGTCAACAATAAATAAATAAGATAATTTGTAAAGTAATTAGCACCACACATTCACTCAATATATTTTAGTTGTCATTATCATCATCATAATTATTATTATTAAATGAGGCTATAGATAAGTGTGTGTGTGTGTATTCATATATATATATATATATATATATACATACATATGTGTAAGTTCTACCTGAGGGAATTGGGAAAGGCACCACAAACATCTTGAGCAGATATTTGAAAGATAACTAAGGACTCTACAAGCGACATTCAGTGAAGGGGGAACAGCAAGAACAAATTCACTAAGAAAATGTAGGAAACCTAGGGAATTGCTACCAGACTCAAATAGCATGGCAGCAGGTGTTAGTAGCAAGCATTCTCTGCCTCTTGGGGTTCCAGATCAGGGCTTAGTTCATTCATCCTTCAGCCCACTTGCTCTCAAACTGTAATGTGCATCAGAATTATCTGAGAGGCTTGGATTAAAAATGCAGAGTCCCAGGCCCTGGCCTCAGAGATTTATTTATTTATTTACTTATTATTTATTTTTATTTTATCAATATACAATGTAGTTGATCTTCATGTCCCTTTACCGATTTCTCCCTCCCCCGTCCCTCTCCCCACTCCCACCCATCAACATCATATCTCCCATATGACCCAGCAATTCCACTACTGGGATTACACCCAGAGGAATGGAAACCATCTGTTGAAGGGATACCTGTCCTCCAATGTTTATTAAAGCACTATTTACAAAAACCAAGAGTTGGAACCAGCGCAAATGTCCATCATCAGATGAGTGGATACGGAAAATGTGGTATACCTGGCCTCAGAGATTTGAATTCGTTAGATCCAAAGCAGGGTTGAGGACTCTGCCTTTTGAATGCACTCCCACAATGACTCGGATGGACGTGGTCCCCAGCTCATGCTTTGAGAAACCCTGCTCTACACCTTTGTCCCATCTTCCTCTTATAGCCACACACACGTGAACATACATGTGCACACACACTCCCCTACCCTCATCATCCCATCTTATCCTCAACTCCACCGATGGTTAAACATCAGCCAAGAATTTTCTGAAGAGCCTTTCTGATCATGTTTCCATCCCCCAATTCTGCTTCTCCCCAGCCCTGATTCCTGCCAGGGAAATACAGACACCTACAGTGAGCACAAATATGATTTTAATCTTATGGCTCCTGTTATTGCAAGTACCTGGGCCAATTCCCCATGTAAATGCCAGGGTGAGGTCAGCACTTGGAAGGCCCAAGAAGAGATGGGGTGGTTGAATGTGTTGCCAACAAGGAGATGGCTCGCTCCCAATCCCAAACCCATCTGACCTCTCTCTCCCTCTTTCTGCAGAGAATTGTCTGCACTGCTGGGCTCAAGTGGTATCCTCACCCTTCCCTGATTCACTGTGTCAAAGGCTGTGAGGTAAGTCCCAAGGAAAGTCACTCCTCAGCTACCTGGAAACAATCCTACTGTTATTATTTTATTATTATATTAAGGATGGCTACCATCTACTGTACCTACTAAGTGTTGTAAATATACATTTAGCAGACTTCTTGGACATATGATGGAATTAGGCACAGAGATATGAAGAAACATACTCAAAAATATAGTTAATGGGTAACGGAGTTGGGATTCCAAGCCAGGATCTCTTTGCTCCAAAGCCTGTGGTCTACATAATACCAGATCTGAAAGAAAAGGAGAGAAGAAGTCCATACTGACTTAGCATCTATAACACACCAGGAATTTTACCAACGTTACTACATTTAACCTTTACAGACCCTCATGAAGCAGTTTTTTTTTTTTTTTTTAATTTCCATTTTACTGATGACTATTACTTGCAGATCAGTTCCTTCTGTCCCACGTTTTAGTCATTCACTCATTCTTAACCCTGGAAGAAATATGGATGCTTTAGACCCAACGATTAAGCTGAAGTATAAAATCCTCTTTGACCCTTAAATTCTGTGACTTCACAGTTGAGCCATTTTCTGGAGCTTGGATATGAGATTTGGCTCCATGTATCAGTGACGAGTTTGATGGGGATGGGGATCACGGGGGCAGAGTTCTTGGGATGTCAACTGTGTTCACAAGGAAAGGCTGTTCATGGCACTCAGAATCATTTCGATACATCTCTATGTCCTTTATGGTTTTTCTCAGCTGGCAGTGAAAAGGGGGCCCTAAATCCCTTCCAGGTGGTTCTCTGAATCTCTGTGGTCCACCCAGAGACCTCTGAGGAAAATGGATATGAAAAGGACTAGATCGTTCCCTAGAAAAATTTGTATTTGATGAAACTCTTAGAATGTCAGATCCAGAAAGGCTTTTTTAGACAATCTAAGCTGAACCTTTTATTTTAAAGTTGGAGAAACGGAGGACCAGACAGTGGACAGTTCTAAAATTTGATGGAATGCCAAAACTGGGAAGGCCCCTAATGTGATCTAGTGCTACTCGCTTGTTGTTTAGAGTGAAAATATGGTCCCGAGAGGGACTGGACTAGTCCGAGGTTGTGCAGAATGATAGCAGAGGTGAGGCATGAGCTCAGCAGGTCTCCTGACTTCCAGCCTGGCACTTTCTCTCCTTGAGTAGGCTACTGCCCACCTGTGAGCCATTCCCTGACCTGTAAGTGTCACCAAACAGTCCCTGGCTCACACATTTATTTCTGTGCCTCGGTTGGGAACCCCCTGCACCATCTGCTCAGGGCACTTCGCATTACAGTCTTTAAGAACCCCCATTCTCTCAAGCTTCAGCCAGGAATGTCAAAACCACGACCAAGGACCTGTGGCTGCTCTTCCTTCCGTCTCTCTGAATCAGTCCAGCATTTTGGAGAAAGCAAGCTTGGGTTACCTGGGCCCTAGTTCTGCTGAGTCAATGGTCTGAGCGGGCAGTGTGACAGCAGAATTCGATCCCTTTTTTGACTCAGCAGTGAGGCCCAAGAGACCCTCCCCTGTCAGGCTCTGAGCCCCGCCAGTGATGCTTATCACCTTTGCCCTGGCAGGGGCCCCTCATCTTCCTTCCTCCTTAGCTTAGAGCTAATAGCTTGTGTCTTGTCTGGAGCTGAAAAATATGCTTAGGAGAGAAACAAATGCTGGGAGCAGAGAAGAGCCATCAACCTTAAGTGTCCAGAGGTAGCCAAGACAGATAAAGGGTTTTAGGACTCCTGAGCCCTCTGCCTCTGCACTAAGCTGTGTCCAAAGTGATGATTAACTCACTTGTTCATCAAAGCTTCACTGAGTATCTATTATAAACCAGTCACTACTCTAGGTTCTGGGAGTAGAGTGGTTTTGTCCAAGTGAAAATAGTAACTGTGCTCTTCCTGAGTCATCTGTGATATCTTCTTGCTCCTCTTCATCCATCCATCCACCCATCCATCCATCATTTTTCTAAGTAAACATTTGCTGAACATATAAATTTTGCTCAAATTGCCAGAAATTTTGCTAGGAAACCTAGAATACAAAAGTAGATGACACACATTCCCTGTCTATAACGAACTCACGGTATAGCGAGGGATATAGACAATTAAAGACAGAGTTCTAAAATGATGCACTAAGAGCTATAACCAAAGCAAGTGCTAGAGTCTGCAGAAGCAAGAACATCCTGGGGCTGTCAGGGAAGGTATTTGGAAGGATGATGTTGTTCTTGAAGGATGGGTTGTTTGCATGAATGCATTACCAGTAGAAGTAGCAACATGAGAAATACCAGAGACGGGAGAAATGTCTAAGTAGCAGAGCTTTTCTAGTGTTGTTGCCTCTCTCTAGAAAGTCATACTTCACCCACATCTAATTAATTCTTCATCTTTATGATCTCAGCTGAAATGTCATCTCCTAGGGACACCTTCACTGATCTCCCCGAATAGATGAAATCTTCTTACTCTTTTCTTTAATAGCATCATATACCTCTCCTCCATACCTCTTATCAGACTTGAAATTGGTCAATTCGATGTGTGATTATTTGATGAAAGTCTGTATCTTCACTAGAGTATATGGTCTAGAAGGGTAGAGGCTATACCTATATTGACTCACTATTGCATTTCTTTCTTTAGCACAATGTGTAACACATAGTAGGCATTCAAGAAACAGGGGTGAGTAGAGGATGAATAGATGGATGGATGGATGGATGGATGGATGGATGGATGGATGGATGGATGGACGGATGAATGTCTATGGCTGCAGAAAATGCCACATAGGAGAGAGTAGCCAGTGATCAAACTGAAGATTTTTTTCAGGGACCAAATAATAATAATAATAAAAACCCTTCATTTATTTTTTTCTTTTCTTTCTTTTCTTCTTCAGCTACTCCTTTACCAGCTCAGTTCTTTTCATTCTTAGGAAGGGACAACTGGTCTCCTTCATTAGTCTGTTCATAGAGACTAATGGAGAAGAACATAAAGAACTTAGCCCCAAGGCTGACCTTCTGCAGCACAGAGAAAAAGAAAGGGCTTATCCTTGTTTTGTGGCTTGTTGTTTGTGCCCCTCTGCTCTATTATGAAGGTAATAATGTGTTGGTTATGGTAGTCACACAGCAGAGGCACGCCTGCATTCACAGCATGTTCATGCAGACTCCCATACCCGAGCTCAGCTCCTGCCTGTTCTTAGCTCTATCTACTAACATCTCTTTCAGACTTTGACAGGGTAGTGATGAAATGGAATCTGGCATCATGATTTGGGGGCACAAATTCTCTGTGAATGAGAATTTGGAGCAGAAATGCAAAAGCCAGGGATGCCACATGGGATGGATTCCTTGTGAACTTGGTTTCCACAGAACAGTCAGGATGGGAAGGAGAGACCATTGGATCACAGGTGGTGTGCTGGGTATGCAATGATCTTAGGCAAAGGATCACATCTTTCTGGCCAATGAGTCACTGAGCATTACAGACCCCAACCAGCACTCTAATCAGAGTGGTTTCACTTTCATCTGCTTTCTATATTATGATGTCACATTATATTGCATTTGATGGAGGGAGGGATAGGTTCATTTCTTTGAGAAATTAGTGGACTAATCCCAGCCTCTTTTTTTTTAAGTAGTGGGAGTCCTGAGGCCCAGAGAAGAAAAGTCACTTAACCAAAATCACCATGTAACCATATTGTTGGCTAAGATTTGGAGGAGTAGAACTCAGGTTTTCTAAATCCCTGACAACTGCCCTTTCTGTTATGCCAGTACAATTACATTCTGTTTCAAAAACATTACTAAGGACCAAAGGTGTTCACAGCATTAAACTAGGTGATTGGGAGACAGAGATGAACCTGACATTGCCTGTGTCTCTGAGGACCTCATCGTCTTGCACCAGCTACAAAAACATAAGCAGGCCGCAGAGTCTGGTATGCTAAGTGCTAAGATGGGGAAATACAAGTGGTCGGGGAGTTGGGGAGACTCCGGAACTTTCCCCTAAGATGGCTCTGGGTTCAGATCTGTTATGACTCAACTCTGTCACCTTTTCATCATCTTTGGAGCATCGCAGGGTTGGAGGAACACCACCCGAGCTCAGCTCCTACCTGTTCTTAGCTCTATCTACTAACATCTTTTTCAGACTTTGACAGGGTAGTGATGAAATGGAATCTGGCATCATGATTTGGGGGCACAAATTCTCTGTGAATGAGAATTTGGAGCAGAAATGCAAATGCCAGGGATGCCACATGGGATGGATTCCTTGTGAACTTGGTTTCCACAGAACAGTCAGGATGGGAAGGAGAGACCATTGGATCACAGGTGGTGTGCTGGGTATGCAATGATCTTAGGCAAAGGATCACATCGTCTTAGACAAAGGATCACTTTCCGGCCAATGAGTCACTGAGCATTACAGACCCCAACCAGCACTCTAATCAGAGTGGTTTCACTTTCATCTGCTTTCTATATTATGATGTCACATTATATTGCATTTGATGGAGGGAGGGATAGGTTCATTTCTTTGAGAAATTAGTGGACTAATCCCAGCCTCTTTTTTTTTTTAAGTAGTGGGCATCCTGAGGCCCAGAGAAGAAAAGTCACTTAACCAAAATCACCATGTAACCATATTGTTGGCTAAGATTTGGAGGAGTAGAACTCAGGTTTTCTAAATCCCTGACAACTGCCCTTTCTGTTATGCCAGTACAATTACATTCTGTTTCAAAAACATTACTAAGGACCAAAGGTGTTCACAGCATTAAACTAGGTGATTGGGAGACAGAGATGAACCTGACATTGCCTGTGTTTCTGAGGACCTCATCGTCTTGCACCAGCTACAAAAACATAAGCAGGCCGCAGAGTCTGGTATGCTAAGTGCTAAGATGGGGAAATACAAGTGGTCGGGGAGTTGGGGAGACTCCGGAACTTTCCCCTAAGATGGCTCTGGGTTCAGATCTGTTATGACTCAACTCTGTCACCTTTTCATCATCTTTGGAGCATCGCAGGGTTGGAGGAACACAGAAAAGAAATAAATTAATTCGATGTGTGATTATTTGATGAAAGTCTGTATCTTCACTAGAGTATATGGTCTAGAAGGGTAGAGGCTATACCTATATTGACTCACTATTGCATTTCTTTCTTTAGGACAATGTGTAACACATAGTAGGCATTCAAGAAACAGGGGTGAGTAGAGGATGAATAGATGGATGGATGGATGGATGGATGGATGGATGGATGGATGGATGGATGGATGGATGGA